AGTATTTTGGCTAATATTTGCAGTTCATTGAATAAGAGTCCTTTTATGGTAGATAGGTTTTTGAACACTTCTAAAGAACATAATTTCTTCACGGAATTTTGTAAGTTTAAAATGCATTGAATCAAACAAATAGTGCGGGCTGTTAGGGGCTGCAACATCGCTTATAACGCAATCCTCGTACCATGTCAACTCGAAGCACTGGAATTCACGCATGGGGAAAATGACCAACGCTGAAAGAACCGACCGCAGAGGCCCCTAAACACGTTCCAGCTGATTGCCAACAATGCCGGCTGCCTGCCTGCCTGCCTGGCGGGCCCTCGCCCTCGCACCGTACCTGCCTGCGACGCGCGGCCGCTGCGCAGGGCCCCATCGGCGGGGCCCGGGGCGGCCGGCGGGAGCCGCCGCGAAACAAGGAAACCGCTACAACAGACGCCACGATGCCAGCTCCACAGCAGCCGCAGCGGATACTAACAACGGCGCGCAGCGGCCGCCTCCGCCAACACCGCCGCCACCCCGGCCCTCGCCCTCGTCCATCTGGCGCGGGCGGGCGGGAGCAGCCGTGCGTGCAGGTAGGCGCGATTCCCCCGCCGCCCCCGCCTACGACGACCTATCATCGCGCCAGGACCCCGCTGTTTCCGGTGTCGGGTGGGCCCTAGCGGAAGTTACGTGGGCGAGGACCACCACCACCACCACCAGCACTGCTGCTCGGTGTGTATGTGCCCCGCGCACTAGAACACCTCTCGAGCCGACAGCCACCCGGCCACACGCCGACGGGCGCCGCCCGTAATCCTAGTGATTGTGTGTAATGCGATCTGGTAATGGACTGAAGCAGGCAAAGGGGAGAGAACAATGCTGGGTCGGAAATTAGTGAAGTATGCGGAGTCAATACCTGCTCAATGAGGTCTTAACCGTGGCATTAGTAGAGCTTCAACGGCCATTGAAACCCCAGTAATCCTGAGACGAGTTAACAAATTTCAAGCACTGAGAACTTAAGAACATTTGAACGAAATTGATATAAATCGTGATTCGATAATCGTGTGAATAGAACAATGGACGCTTAATCTCCTATGCAATATCAATCTATCAGTCAATACAATTTCTATACATATTACAATATATGCTAAGCTAGTTTTTGTTCATGTTCGTTTTGTTACTTCAGTGGAAGTCATAACAAGACAAAAATGTATCAAAAGAACAGAACATACGAATACACATTGATACGAAAATTTATAAAATTATACTAAAAATATACTGCTATTGAATACTCTTTCTTCTCTATTATCTAGGGTGGAACGACACCATACATTATTTTGCAGGAAAGAAAACATGGGCATCTATACCACGCAGGCATTAAGTGTTAACAACATAGTAATGTAGAAAAAAAAGTACTTTAATAAGTTTCGTTTAACATATTGTGTATGATTTTTTATTTATCCATCGCTTACACATAAATAAAATTCGTGCGCAGTCTCCCCCACTGTCGTGCCCCGGAGCCGTGGGCGGCTCTCACCAGCAGGTGCCTCGAAGCCATCGTAATGAGGCGTAATGCGATCCGGTAATGGGCGGAAGCACACCGGCCAGTACGAAGACGCACGGCCCGCCGAAAGAGATAATAGCGGGAGCAACCAGTCGAGGAGGGGGGCGGCGGCTTCCGAGCACGGCACAATGACCAGCGGCGCAGGCGCCCCTTGGGCTCACCGAAGCAAGGCAGGGCAAGGCACGGTAACGAGCGCCATTTGCAAGCGCTCCTCCTACACGAGCCGCCAGCCGAGACGAGGCACGGGGATCTCAGCGCCTGAGTCACACGATGGAATTTTAAACTGGAGCGTGGACAGAAAATGAGCGTGTGTGCAAAATATACTTCAACAACAACTCGTCATAAGGAACTTTATTTCACATCTCGACGTCCCAGATCACCATACAGATTTTATTTGTTATTTAAGACCGCATCAACTTCTAGGTCATTGGCGACCACTGTTGCCTGTAACGGTATGAGTAAGTGTCAGGATGACACGATATAATGATGATATGGGGTGAAAGGACCATCACAATACAACCATGCCCGAGGGGGGACTCGAACCCGCGATCCTTTGGTCCGAGATCGTTACGGCACTACTGCCTTAGCGATCTCGGCGATCCGACCCGGCCCAGATTTATTTTGTTTTGGTTTTCTACTCTAACTAAGCACTCCTATTCCGCCAAAGCAAAAGCATATTTTTTTTCTAATGTATTTTTAATCGTAAGCTCGAATGTCCCGTCGGTGCAACATATATAGACTTCACATAAAAAAAATGTTTTATTCTGACGTAATTTCGACAAACTTACTGTGATTTGATGGCAGAAAGACTCGTTTTGAATCGTAATTTATAAAATACGCACACATAAGACCAGAATACATCACAAGAAATATTTATATTTCACAAGGTTCGGGGGTCCCTACCGCTCCAGTGCGCCATTGACAGGCAGATCACCGACATTCACTTCGGTTTAGGTCACAGATTCAGAATGAAACGTGGCTCAATCTTATTGCTAGCTTCTGCAATAATTTTTCTGTGACGTATCTTTCGATCATAACGACTTCGCCCCCATGAGATGCGGAATTCAAACATTTGAGCGAGTGTGATAGTTAAAAAGATTTGATGACGATTAGGTATCACGCCCCCAAAGACACTGATGGGTAAAAAGACACGGTTCTGCACAGGTAAGGACCTCTTCAACTTTCACGAGATCGTCACACACTTCGACATAAATTTTGGAACGTAACCTCTTTAATTAATTTGTGACCCACATATTGAATACTGCAGTGAAATTATCTTTCGGCATGGATCCAGAGACAACACACAAGAATATTTCAGGCTTCGAAATATTTTTAATTTTAATTCAATCAAACGATGTGCTTGACGCCGAGCTGTAGTTTTTGTATCCTTTGCACGCATCACAAGGTTGAAAGGTCTGAAATTGACCCCGATACTGCGGCCACTCATTGTTTTTGTGTGAATAACACATTTAATGAGACAATATTTTCTAATATATTCGCATTCTGAATGCATGTTCCAAGGGTTCAATACTCGATGGAAATTTTCGATTTATGTTAACCAGAGAAATCGTTTCAAAATCTGAGTAGATGAAACAGAACATATTTAACTCGGTCAGGAAACCGAGTAGCGCTGAAATATTAGTAGTGCAGGATTACTCACATATTGGCCGATATACACCCTTATAAAATAAATCACTTTACCGCCAAATACAATCAACAAGAAATCTGGAGAAACTAATGATTATAAAAATATAAACCATTTATATATTCACATGATTTCTTTCAATCGCACTTAAATAATTAAAACAATTTTATGCCTAAGAAATGTTCGCAAATGAGAAAGAAGGATACAATAATTTCTCCTGCCGGTTCATTGACTAGTCACTAGTCAAATATTCAAATTTTCCAGCAGGAGTAACCTCTGCCCTTTTCCCCACATCATAATGGCTGCATCCTGATGTTTCATCCCTTCAAACCCCCTTAGCTAATTTCTGCTCCACATACCACATGCGTCGAGAGTAACAACCTGCGACTTGTGTTGGTGCATGCTGAATGCCGAAGCAATATGTTAATGGCGCAATTGTCTAAAAGGTGGGAGGTGCAGCGGGGGCGTGACGCACGAAATGCTCCGCGTACATCGCTCGCGAGGAGGGCGACGCGAAGGAAAAACACGTGCAGCGGTGGCGAGCCGCATAAAAAAGGTGGGCTCGCCACTTCCCTGGGAACCGCCCGCCGAGTATTCAACCGGGCCGGTCCATTCAACTTTGACCTTGCGACGTGCAGCGCGGCGCGGCGCGGCGCGGCGTCCAACAGTTACCAACGTGAGAAACACAATAGTGCAGCAGCGTATACCCGGCGAGGAACGCCAGGAACAAGCGAGCACCTTGCCTCCTCCGCGGTCGTTTCCCAGCACGCCAGGTCCCCGACCTCGAGCCTTTATTACAACGGTTGTTGCATGAAACCCAAACAAGGGTCCCGCGCAAGTCCTGCGTGATGGAGATAATATGCTCAGGGGTATACGCTACTCACTGACTGACTCATTCACTTGGCAACATCGTTTTCGGGAGTTAGTTCCTTCTAACCTACAAAGCGTCGGTGGTTGTTATCTTCGATTGGTGTAGTAAGCAACACAAGACAGCAAAGTTCCGACCTTCTATAATACTGCAATTACAACTAGTGATAAAAACAAGACGCCCCGACTATTATCGGCAATTTTACGAAAACAAGCTTAGTTTTTGATGTGAAAAAAAACAACAAAAAACTATATATTCTGTCCAGGCCGCAACACAGGTGCAAATCGAATTTATGTTGCTACCCTCGAAAAAAATTACATCAATTCATATATTTATGCCTGTAAATACCCCGATTCTTGTTAGAATAACGTGGACAAAAATTAATTGCAAAAAATATCATAATAAATTATATTTGACACTTTGTATAAAAATATGTTAGTGTAATGAATGTAATATACAAAAGGTAAAAGGAAAAAGCTTGCGGATCCGGAGAACGTCAAATTTGTAGGAAAAAAATTATAGAACGTTTTTCTATGTTTGTTTTATTTTACTCCCCATCAAAAGTGGTTCCTTCATATTCCGCAGCTGATTTGCGCGAGCAATCTGTCTACATAGCAAACTCCAGCTGTGATGGCAGAAACCAGGAGAGGGCGTGAATAAGAGGAAAAGTATGCAACTCTCTCTTCTACAAAAAGACCGGTCACGCCCTGCAGCACGGACATCGCTGTTTTTATTTGAAACAAAACGTGTTCTGGAATCGCAAATTCTTCATGAAAATAAAGTGTCTAGTTCACGTAGTAAATGAAGAGATAACAATATCAGTACAAGACGTCAATCCGAAACGAGCTGTACATTTATACTGTAGAAAGCGTTATATAGGGAAATACATCTGGAAGCCTTCTACTAACAATTAGTACAAGAACGTAAAAATAAAATCACAAAAAACTCACCGTGTCCAAGTTGAACAATGAGGACACTTTCTTGATGAAGCCATCCTGCTGACGTCGTTTCCTGCGACTGGTCATTGTTAATCCTTTGAAACGGGGCGAACGAACACAATACCACACTCAAAAGGTACACAATGGATCCTACACTTGCACCTCACAAATAGAACATTTCTATGTCACAAGAAGACACTAATGGATTGCATTTCGTCTCTTGATTGAAGCACTATTAGTAGCAAAAATTTCTCAATAGCGAAGTTGTAGGCACATCACCGAAAAGCAAACAGTTCGTATTCCTGAAACCGAAGATTCACATCGTTCAGTACAATTAATTTGTGCAGTATTTCATTTAAAAATTACAATGCTGTTTGTAAAATCGAATGACCTGAATATGCAATTTCTCAACAAATGCTAATTAATGAATTATACAAACATTAATTATTTTTTTGTGGGTATTACACTGTCGAGAATAATGCGAACACTGTTTTATCACGGTCTGTGCCCCAATAACAAAAACTAAACGATATAGAAACGGTAAACATGTATTGCATATATTACTGTCAACCGCGATCTGGCAAGCAATTTATCACAAAAACGTCGTACATCTATTCATCAAACACGGATTGTATTGACATTTGCCTAACGGATGTCATATAATTCGAACTTATACCTCAAAGGCACACTGGCAGTAATCAAATAGGCTGTGTCACAAATCCTCCTATGGTACACGTGACTGCGAATAAAGCGGGAGACTCAATAATATACACTGCACAATGGGGTTATGTCCAAATATTCGACCCGTCACATTACGCTAAATAATTTCAGTCATACGATGCTAACAAATTAGATAATCATGTATCCCGTTTTCTTTATAGTAGCACACGATATTAATTAACCTGTATGTGGTTTTAAATAAACAGCACTGCAACACCCCGGTGTTCGACGATTACACGTTCGGGCGCTTTCTTGCTGCAGTCTTCCCCATGTTTTCTTCCTCTTCACAAGGTCAAAGACGAGACACGGCAATGCAACGGCAGGCCACGCCACAACGCTCCGATGCACAACGTTACCACACGCGTTTCCAATTTTTAGGTCGATCAAGAATCACACTGAACCACTTCGTTTATTAAAAACTGCCTGCTTCAACATGCTGCACTGTTTAAAACATGGCCAACTACTTGTTGCTTACGTTGCCAACGATGCTTTCGTCACCAAGTGAAGCCGGCGCGTATAGCGGTCACCCGAAGAGCGGCGGAAAGACGCGAGAACGAACGAACGACCACGAGGCAAATAAGGCTACTACGCGACGTGAAAACATCTCCTCCGGGAGGAACAGAAGAAAGAACATGGCAGAACGAGGGCTGTCTAAATACGTATTTCCTCGCCCAATTTTGCGATACCGTACAAATGATTAAAAACCGTTCTATTGTTGTAATTGATTGAAAAAATGTTTACTGATTAAGAATAGATGACGATTTGATGTCATGAAAATTCTGCGCGTCCCTACTTCGAAATTATTATAGCTTTGTCGTTCAATTCTTGTCAGTCAACACTCTGGGGTCCCTATTCGCTTAGCGCAAGCAGAGCGACCAGAATTGCAAATTAGTGCTGACCCATTTCAAGCAGTTGGGTTTAATTAAGGATGTAGCCGAGAGCAATGACGGCACGCGCCATGTGACTCCTCCACTATCAACTGCAAGAGCATGAGAGAGCTCCGTTTACACTGTTGCAGCTCGCCTGAGATTTCGAGGTAAAATCGACGGTGTTCGGTTAGGGAGTACAACATAAAAGTGAGTTTGTAGTAAAGTGGAAATTAAATTTCGAGTCAACATCTTACATCGCATACTATTTTTTTAAAATATTATATTAACTACATAACGGTAAATTTTTGTCTTTAGATTGTAGAATTTGTTATGTATAACCCCCTAAGCAAATCCATTTCCACAAACATACAGGACGCCTGTCACCGAAATATCATCGAATTACTCCCCAGTGATTCCTAAACGGTATAAAATTGAATGGCGTATTAGGAGAGTAACTAGTAGAAAATTTGCTGAAATAAAAAAAGTCTTAATATTAATAAAGAACTAGTAATCGCGTCAACAATGCATGCGGCTGAACAAAACCACACAGAATAGTTTTCCCCAAAGTAGCTCTCACACTGCTCATGAACAAATAAAATAACTCTTGAAAAACACGTCTTAAAATTAAATATTTTAACCAAGAATAATCTTCGCGAATGGTGCAATTCTTTACATTCCATGCCATTACAATAGTTCTTCACATTCCAAGAATACAAAAAAAAATGCTGTTCCTTATTACTAGTGAATTGCAAATTTTTCAGCCAGTCAAAGAAATCATATTAATTCTTAGCTAAGTAAAGATCTTATTTTTTAAGAAAATGTTATTCACTTCTTATGCTTTTGCGTAGTAATAAACTTTTTGCACAAGATCTGTTGTTTTACGCAGCGACTTTCGGCGTGCATTTGGCATTTTGAAATGTTATATAGTACCAAACTGACACGTCAGAAGAGCTGAGGTAAGAAATGGGGGAGGGAGACTCCACAATTCAAGGAATTGAAGCAAACGCGGAGGTGGAGGTTGCGGAATGAACCAAACAGCGACGAGAGCAGAGTTCGCGAAACCCACCCACTATGAAAATTCGTCTGGCGCCGAGCCGTGGGAACGACGCGACTGTAGCGCTGCTGCGATAGCAGTTTCCTGGAGTCAGCGTATTGGCACTTCGGGGGCGAAAGATTCGATTCGATTACTTCTCGTGCATGGGTTACGGCATTCGTCACGTCCTGGGAGATGACCTCAGCGTGTGGAGTGCTGAAATGTCAGCGACTGGTAATGATAGTTATTCTTTGCCATCTTAGAATTTTCTACAGACGAAGGTCGAATATGCTGAAAAATATGTACGTTAAGTCCAAAAATGCAAATATTAGCATTTACGGAGGAATATTAAGAAATATGCAAAATATATACCTGAAATTGTTTTTAGTGGCTCAAAACGCGTAAACTTTTGTTGAGACTGGATGCTTAAGTTAACATGTAATAGGCTGCAATGCTGTGCAATGTTATGTAATTTGTAATGCTTAAGTTAACATTAAAAATATGTACCTGCATACATATCACACTGCTCTGTTAATGGCATTTAAGTATAATGTATCTTTATACATTGTGTTTATTTCTCTTGAATCCACAAAATAATTTCGTATAATTAAGTGTTGTGGTAAATAGGATGTTTCATCAGACGAGAGCGTCTCGTAATCAAACCATACATTTATTACAGCGAAAAGAGTGCTTGCCCAAATGAAGAGCTTCTTTCAGTTAAGAAAGCTTTTTGCTATAATAAATATTCAGCATGATAAGTCCACGTCTTCTTTAACTGGGATTGGACCGTGTCTTCGGTGCCACAGCTCCCATGACCTCCACACCAGACGCCCCGCCATCACCACTACTGCCTCCGCTGGCGCCGTGTTGTCATCGCACTGCCCTAAAAATAACGGCGGCCGGAAGACTGCTTTCGTCTACCGCTTTCCGCCTTTCAAGAACGCTATCGCGTGGAGGAAAGTTTCGCCTAACGACACGTTTGTACACCATGCAGGCTTTCCTCACAGTGGCAATTCATTGAATTGAGATATAAAGGTCTTCGAATTGTTCTTGGGCAACATCTCTTTGGAAACAACAATGTATGGGACAATTCAACATATACGTTCGCAAAATGTTGTTTCTTCTAAACCTTCTCACCCATTTTTCCTCTCCCTTTTTTAGTAACTTGCCCCATTTACACACGTCCCTCCTCCTGAGATCAACACGGCATTTTGTTCCTAGCCGCTTTCTCCGTAAAATGAGTTGTTTAAAAAATTGTATTGTGGTTAAGGATTCACTGAGACATGAAAACTGCAGTGCTTAATCGAACGTGTACCTGAAACGCTATCTGTTAATAAATAATCAATCAAGCTACAGTATTTACAGACGTATTTGACACGTGTAAGATTCTGAGTTATCAGGGAGTGTGATAAAATCCCTTATTACAAGACTTCAGATATTTGCCATAGACGTTCCTTTACGCTCTAAATTCGTTAACTTTTGATGTACATCATAGTTACATTTCTTAAATAATTAAAATACTTTAAAATTTGAACACTTCACGTCTGAAATTGGCGCATGGACCAACATAGCAAGATACTTGCAGTAAGCAGTCCAGTATTTCTGGGGCAACCGAAATTACTTCGACGCATTGAAGATGTGACGACAGAAATAAAGAAATATTGTCGGAGTAGTGTGTGAGCCATGGATCCCGATTGACACTGAATCATATCAGCAAAGGACAATGAACCATTTCAATCATATTTTTGTAATGGTTACAAGAGACGAGGGACAACAAACAAATGTGGATATTTAACCGGCAAATAATAAATGTCAAAATACTCGTACTTTTTTGACGTACTCATTTTATCAAAGTTCTGCGTTCTCTCTCTTTTGTGAAACTGTCAGAGCTGAGATCGCCAAACCACCAATCTCGAGCTACTGGTAGTTCAAGGGGAAAGTTTTGGTAGATCGCATTGTCACGTTCAGGAAGGCTAACATGCAGTTGCTAAACTGTCATAAGTTCAGACAGGAGGGCCTTAAGTAAAAAAGCGGCAATGTAACAACTTCCAGTTTAATGCTCAATAACCAAGTTCGCATCTCTCCTTTACCATGGTACAGTGTTGTTCGCTCCACTTATCGCAGTCGATATCGCTCCGCACCGGACAGACTACCGGCAGTCTTTAACCAGTAAACTGTTCTAGTGCAGGTAAGTCCTGGACCCGTCAAGGTAACTAGCTCGCTAGAGTTCCCAGGAACTGCGTCCAGTGCAACTGGTGCGAGATTTCAAAGTAAAGGATGTTTACTCCCGAGTAGCTGCACGTCACTGGACACCTGACCCGTGAGTTATTTGGAGAAGGTGGTTGACAATTATTTGCCCAAATTCCCATTTCATCTCATCAGAAACTATTCGTCCCATTTCATTACAAAATAATTGAACCATTAAAATGAAATCATACATCAGCCAGATTTCAAATTGTCGAATGACAGTAAAACGAACATTTTAAATCGAAAGTCTATTGTTCTTTAATCTACGAGTGCAATAACTGCATTAACTTCGTATGTTCAGGTAGGGAGGTTTAATAGACAAAGATTCTTGTTTGTTAAAAGAGCAGGCTGCCCTTAAGCGAGAATTGTTAATTTACAAAATTCATGTACGCTTAACATTATTGCTAGAGACAAAAAGTGAATTAAACATTATTGTTTGCCACTATCCCATGCCTCGCTCCGCTTCAGTATGCACGTGTACATCCCATCCTGGTAGAGTTGTGACATCAATGTCGATGTTTTCGTGACATTACTTAAACATTTCTAACATTTTCTTTAAAGAATCTATCTAGTTCTGTACTATTTTCTTCAGTCTGTGAATATTCCTAGACGTGTTACATCACCATGCTCTATCTGAGAACTGTGAATGAAACCAAAACAGGTTTTTACGGATCGACAGAGTAATGCAGCTCCACTGGAGCTTCTTCACGCCCTTTTTCAACTTGAAAATTGAAAGCCAATTTTTTCTTGTTATGTACGTGTAGTTAAACATTATTTCAATTATTGAAGTATAAAGGTTTTCAAGAATTTTGCTTCTAAAAATGCAGGCCTAAAAAAACGCTGCAGCTAATCACTGTAGCACCGACTGAATCTGTCAGTTTGATGAATGAATAACCGGAGGTAAGCTGAACCATCTCTTCGGAGACTCAGTGCTGACAGCATCGCAATTGCTTTCTCATTAAATTTCGTGAGCCCTTCCAATCTTCCGTTTCAAATTTGGAATACGCATAGCTTTCTCTTTGTCTAGTTTCATTACCACTCGTTCACGCACGACGGAGGAGATTAGAAAGAGAGTTCAACAGATTTTAATTTGCTGAACAAATGAATCAGTTTCGTAAGAGCCTGTCAAGAAAATAAAAATATGCATACATAGTGAACGAAATTAGTAAACTTTTGTTTGTTTTATTCTAATAGTTTTAAAAACTTCTTGAAAATGAAGGGTTTAGTCAATTATTGCTCGTTAACAGAGAATTTGTTGAAAAAGCTGAGATAAGGGCACTGCTCTAAAGTATTAATTGTCAAGGAAAATTGGCTACGGAAATCCTTACTTCATGTCTTCCACATTGGTTTTATTTGCACAACGCAGATTTTGGAATAGCGACTAGTACGAATGATGTTTCCTTCATCTTTTGTGAAAGTTGCAAGCGCCCACATTTTAATTATATTTATATCGGTGTTTAGAATAATTAATCAATAATACTAATAGTAAAATCTGATATCTTAATATATTACGATAA